ACAGCCGGGCAGAGGCGGTGCTGAGGGCCAGGGTTTGGGGGTGGGGTGGCAGTGCTAGGTCAACGGTTGGACTTGATGATCTTAAAGGACTTCTCCAACCCAAATGATTCTATGATTCTATGATTCAGTGGGCAGGTTGAAGGTCCAAAATAATATATTGACAAAATTATAGCCAATAGATCACGACATGGAAAAAAATCTTCAAGCTTAAATCTTAAAGCTCTGGCTGGCACCTGATGGAAAGAGTTGGTCTTGCCAAAGATCTTGCAAATGATGTCTTCTCATGAACATCCAAATTCTCTCCCATATGTGGGCATGTTTGGGAGGATATCTTTCCTTTTTTTTGGTTTTTTTTGGGGGGGTTGTTCTTAGATACAGAGAAGTAAATATGATCATATTGTGCCTTAATTCGCCCCATTAATTAGTGTTGCATTAAACAGGCAACAGGAGTGATTTGCTGACTCTGTAGCAATACGGTTGGGTCAATTAAAATGAGGCTAGCACGCCTGATGGCAATGTCATGTATGTGGAGCTTCAAGAGACAAACAGCCCCTTCTAATCTGGATTACGCTTCCACGCCATCTTCCTCGCGCCTCTTGGGTCTGCCAGTATGAGGAATTTTTACCCCCAAATTGAGTTAGGTTTCAGACATACTGGAGTATGCGGTTTTTCCTTCAGGAGGGACCTTAATAATGTCAGCACTACTTCACGGCAGGATTCCTGCTTCTGCAGGGGGAGGACACGCTGGTTAAGGGAGCCCTTCCCCATCCAGCAAAAAAATTGTCTTAAAACCTCTCAAAAATCTCACCCTCCCTCTGGTTAATGGTATCGTGAGGCTTCCTCAGAAGGAGACTTACTAGTCCTCGAGCTGAAGTTAAGACACAAGTCCCATCGATTCCGAAACAGGGAAGGTTCCCCTGTAGAAGCCTCCAATGTGGCAGATTTAAGCTTTACCCCACGCCCACGGGACAAATTACCAAACGATCCCTGGGCACCTGGGAAGGGAGGGAGCCTTCCCCAAAGAGCCCAGGGAAAACACAGGTTTGCCTCCAAGGTCTCAGAGATGGGATCCCCAGGGCACATCAGAAACGGTGCCCGCGGAGCCTGAGCAACTCAACTTGTGCACGCGGCTTTGTAAGGAGGGGTGGAACACAAGGCTGCGTGTTGTTGTGCAAGACTTGAATTTGAAAGGATTTTTCCTCCTCCACAAACATGGGAGAAGAAAAAAAAAAAAAAAAGATAACTCTAAGTAATGGGTTAATTAAGGAAATAATTGCTTTATATTTGCAAGGATCAGTTAGATTCATTTTCTTCTGTATTACGTATTTCCACAGAGCAGGCGGGGATATATTAAAGAAAAAGGGGATTGAAATGCAGATTCCAGGCCCTGTCCCTGGGAACATTCCAGGCCAGGTTGGACGGGGCTATGAGCAACCTGATCTGGTTCAAGGTGTCCCTGCTCCCTGCAGGGGATTTGGGCTGGGGGACCGCTAGGGGTCCCTTCCAACTCAAAGCAATCTATGATTCTATGATTCTCTGATTCTACCCGCTTGCCATTTTCTTTTTTCGCAATGACCTGTCTTTTTCCATTCATGCTTGACTACGATTTTGCACCGTCGCTTCCCAGGAGGTCGAGTTGCAGAGCAGGCGCAATGGGCAGCCTTGGCTGGGGTCAGCTCCCTGGCAGCCTGTCACCGAGGGTCACAGAATGACAGAATCCCAGCATGGCAGGGGTTGGCAGGGCCCTCAGGAGCTCACCCAGTGCCACCCCCCTGCCCAAGCAGGCTCACCCAGAGCAGGGGGCACAGGACAGCGGCCAGGCGGGGGTTGAAGATCTCCAGAGAAGGAGACTCCACAGCCCCCCTGGGCAGCCTGGGCCAGGGCTCGGCCACCCTCACAGTCAACAAGTTCTTCCTCCCGTTCACCTGGAACCTCTTCTGCTTCACTTTGTGCCCATGGCCCCTTGTCCTGGCGCTGGGCACCACTGGGAAGAGTCTGGCTCCGTCCTCGTGACCCCCACCCTTGAGATATTTGTAGGTGTTGATGAGATCCCCTCTCAGCCTTCTCTTCTCCAGGCTGAACAAGCCCAGCTCCCTCAGCCTTTCCTCCTAGGGGAGATGCTCCAGTCCCCCCATCATCCTTGTTGCCCTCCTCTAGACTCTCTCCAGGAGTTCCTTGTATTTCTTGAACTGGGGAGCCCAGAACTGGACCCAGTGCTCCAGGTGGGGTCTCCCCAGGGCAGAGTAGAGGGGGAGGAGAACCTCCCTTGCATCACCCATGCGCCTGTTGGGACAGTGAACTCAAGATGGAGGAAGCTCTCTTCTAGATGTTTGCAATCAGCTGCATGAATTTCAATCAATATTCTTTTTCCTTCTTCTTCCCCCCCCGCCCTCCACCCCCACCTGCTACCCATTTGCTGGGCCCACACCTTGATGTTCAATTTTACCCGGCATATTTTTCTTCCTCTATTCCTATTCGTGGTTTAAAAAACCAAGAGAGATGACTGCTTCTCATGTTATCCACCAGAGATGACCTTAAAATACATGTATTGCCCGTTTGAGAAATGAGTGTTTCTGTTTCTTCCCTTCTCACTTCCCTCTTTCCGCCAGCCTTGCTGGCCGTTTTCTAGCAGCGGCGGGATGACCGTTTCTTCAGGATGATTCCTCTTCCCTCACTGCCCTCCTTGCAGCGGTTTTTACTTCCCCATTCCTCAGGCTGTAAGTCAGAGGTTCATGGC